CTAGTAATTTATTTACTGAGAAAAATGGTGACGTGTTCAATACTTATTTTACCCACTGTACCTTGCTGGAAGTCAGTATAAGGTGGATATTCTCCATGGTTCCACCTCATCTTCAGCTCATGCTGAGCTCATTGTCGAAGTGTTTGTTTGGCACATTTGCCAAAAACAAAAGAGAAATCCTGCAACCACTAAAATCTGAAGTCTGTCTTATTCAGAGGTTTTGGGGTTCTTTCCTTTGGTGGTTCTTGGTGCAGCGCCACCACAGGTGAGGGGGTAAACAGGTTGCTCAGTGGGGTTGGTTGTGAAAGCAAACTGCACCAGCTGAAAATGTAAACAAATGTTGTAATTTTGGTCCCCAATCAAACCGAGTCTACTGAACAATCAGGTGTGAAAACACCCTAAGAGTTGCAAAAAATACTTTTTAAAATCAAAACCACCTTAGTTTTAGGTCCTTAAAATAAGTTAACCAAACGTGTTAACTCAGGAACCAACAAATAAAATACTATAAGATAAGATTTTTTATTGTCCCGAAGGAAAATTGTCTTGGGTAAAGACTCTGACTGCTACACAGTTCAAAACAACCCACAACAGTCACATTACATTCCCACACAAAACACACATTTACAATAAATACATTTCAAGAGAAATAAATACATAAAAGAAGCATGTCAATACAGTTTAAAATCTTGAACATCATTACCTAAAGTCACAATTTACGATTACAGTTTGTTACTGCAGTAATGCTCCAATAAGCTGTTTGCCTATCAAACATCAACACAACATTCGTGCTCTCCCTCTGCTGCCCTGCAACACGGTACAACCAGCTAGTCTATGAGCTCCAGATCTGCTGCTGAGGCTCATTCCACTAATTGGCAGAACAACTCCAGCAGTTTTCTGTAAAGGAAACTGGTAACTCAAAGAAACAAAATTTAACAAATGCATATTTTTAAAGCTTACAACTCAAACCTATATTTCTTTCACACTTTTTAAACTTTTGAGAGTTAAACCTCTGAAAATGTAAAGTATTACATAACCAATCTTCATTAGAATATTAATAAAGTAAACATGTTTCCACCTGTTCAACTTCTAAAGCTGCGGGACAAACTGATCCACTGARTGGGTTTTAACTCGATAATTAATCTGCTCCAGCATGTCTCTTCTCAACTGGGACAAAATGACTTTGGATAAATTAACAAATTACTYATAAATTTTGATTTGTGCAGTATATTTTATAGGAAAAACTGGGAAGCCTAATGACTTACACGAAAATGGACAAAAACGTATGAAAAATGTGAAAAAAAGTGTGTGCGAGCACAAGCATCAGTCAGAGAGATCTGATTCAATTACCGGCAAAAGCAAGAGATGGTGAGAATTTATGATGTACTGAGTGGTGCACAGAGATGATATATGGTAATTAGATTACTCCCTGATACTGACGGTTTGACAGCAAATAACGTTACAGAAGAAAGAACAGTGAAGGAAAAATGAAGCACAAAAAGAAAGGAATGATTCTTGTGTGTAAGCAACATGAACACAAACTTGTTTTCTTATAAAGTTGTGGAGGTTTCTCATGTTTTTTACTAACTCTGCCCTCCTCAAAGCACAGGCCTGGTATTCCTTGAAATGCATATTTTAAGCTGCCTTTTATGCCAGAGTTTTAAACTGCAGTCATCTAATGAGAAGAAGACAGAGATGTAGCTGTCTGCGTTCAGATTTCACTTCCCTAATAATCTGCAACCCTAGTATTAAACAATGTGTCTCTCTGGCCTCACATAGTTTGAAAAAAAGAATTAGTTAGCAAAAGGTGTTTTAAGTTATTTCTCTCTGTCCATTATTTATTTGATTAATTGGTTATTTCAACATGAGTACTACAGAACCAAAAAAAGAGCATTGAAACAAGCAATGTTGCTGACAGTGTAAAATACATCACCAAAAGAAAAATAAATCAAAAGATGCTCATAGATGTCATCTCATCCTTTTGTAATCTCTTAGTCATTCTGCATTACAGCATTTTATTGCAAGATTAAAAACATATAGAGCTTTCATGAGCCATAACACAAATGTATTATTTTTGTATTGTTATCTAATGTAGCAGTTCACAAATGATGGATTTGTTCAATTTTTTTAAGTAAAACTGGGATAAAAAAATCTACCAATCAGCTTTCATTCAATTGGTGTTATTTTTTGGTGTTAATAATGGAACCAATAAAGTCTCTCAAATTTTTCCATTAGTTTCAGCTGGTTGTTTTTATACACAGAAATGTGGGTGGTTGTGTTAATTCTGCAAAAGGATCATGATTTTCTTAAATTATGATGATTTAATTATGTGCCATTTAGACACCAAATTGACACCTGTAAATGTTACATTTGTTATGTCTACATAAAGCTCTACACTACAGTAAATAAACAGTGGATTAACCTTCAGACATAGAATTCCACATAGAGATGAAAGCAGAAATTAAGGGAAACTGGGGTAAGATCAGACATTTTTCACATCTAGGATCACTACAGCAACCATAATTTGGTCGCTAATTTATATTTCTGCATATATTTCAGGATATTATTAATTTCTTCAAACAATCAGAATGAGTGTAACCATTTCCATAATATAGCATGTTCAAGAAAAGTTGTCTCATAGGAACAACTTACTCCATCCTTCCCCCACAACTTGACCGTACCACTCACTCTCCTTCCCTTCCTWGGATAAAAGTCACTTTTTCCCCATTAACTGTATTTTATTTGTTGTACGCAACTTGACAGGTACAATAACCTGTTTACTGTTACAAATTATTGCTAAACTGCTGCTTGTTAAAAGCAATAACAACAAAAAAGAACAGAATGCTTTCAAGAGTGCTTGGGAAGCGACGCAAAYGAGGTGAATCCTTGTTCCAGAATCACAGTTTCTTAACTTAAGTTCTTAAGTTGAGCAACTGGAACTGGCTCAACTTGCCCCTTGCCAAAAGGCTCAACTTACCCCAAAGCTACAATTTTCACTTTACTTGTTCCCACAGCTAAAATGCTACACTTTTATGCTAGGTTTATGACCTCATGTTGCAGCTCACAAATACAACAATTGAAGTATGAAACAAATGTCAAAATATGTATTACGGTCTAAACACAATTCCTACTAAACTTGTGATAGACTAAATTCACTTTCAAGGGTGAAAGTTGTTTTTTGTTTTGTTTTAGGAATAAAAGTCAAACCACTTTAACCATGTGGTTCTTACCTTCAGACTCAATGAAAATATGCCTTNTTAGAAATTATTTGGTCACATGATCAATGTTTTTTACTGTTTTCTAGCAGCTACTTGTTCTTTGGCTCAACTGACCCCAGTCTCCCCTYTGTCCTGGTGCATCTCAATATTCCAAGTAGATTAAAAAAAAGCAGTTTCTCTAAACAAGCTCCTCTTTGTTGAAAATGTTTCGTCTCTTTCCCAAGAGACTTCCTGAGTCTGAGGAGTTACAGGTAAACTCAGCCTTATAAATATAAAAGTAGTAACGATGATCTATATTACTCGGTTGGGCGTCACTTGACCTGGGCATGTTTTGCAAGGGGTATTTGTACAAATGACCCAAAAATCTTTGCTYTAAACTTCAGAAAGTGTCTGCTAGCATTTAAAAAGCTTCAATGCTCATGTTTAAGCTTTTTTTCACAGAATGCTAAGACTTTAATTTATGACTGGACTTAAAATTGGTTACTGTAACAGATGGGAAGCAGGTTGTGGGGAAAAATAGTCTAATTTATTTGTTACAAACAGTCTGTAGTGTTGCCTCTTAATGTGATGGCAGAGAAGACATGAAACAAATGAGYAAAAAGTGTCCTGTCTTTTGAAAAGGGCAGGCATATCTTTCAGCAGTCTCAGTTTAATTGAAGCYCTTGGGAATAAAAGCTCCGACCYAATCATGARGTCGTTGGTGACAGGGGCTGTAGACGGGGTCAAGAGTACCGTACGGCACGTGTTATCTGCTCTCTTAAGGGCAKTGGAAATATCTCGCGGCTCCGGTCGGTTGTGTTACACTCCTGGACGGTGAATGAACTGAGATGTGGGCGCACAAACACACACACAGAACGAGACACAAACCACAGGAGTTTTCCTGACTCAGATCAGGCAGACAGGCAGGAAGCAGAGCGAGCTGAAAYCCTGCCAAACGGGAAGCGTGGGCAAAACTGGGCTGTAAGGAGTCTGACATTTTATGCTTCATACAAAGAAGAGAAGCAGAGACTGTACTACTGTAATGTTTTTTTTTTTTTACTTTCTTTCCTTCTGTGCGACCTATCTTCCTTCAAGTAAAGCATCCCTGTAACTTGACTGGGTCTTTTCCTGGTGCCAAAAAGCTCAGAGACCGTTGAGAAAACTCGTGTGTTTGTGCATGAAATTTGTAAGAAAATTACAAGTTCATGTCTGCCGCTGGAAAAGGAACAAACATGTTTCTGGCCTGAGTTTTAACTGACGTGTTCTGTTTCATTGCAGGCGGATGCAGCCACCAGCTTTTTGCGTGCGGCTCGTTCGGGGAACCTGGACAAGGCTCTGGATCACATCAAGAATGGGATTGACATCAACACTGCGAATCAAGTAAGATAGCTTCTGTCAGAGCGTCATACACACTGATACACACATCTGTGTGTGTGTGTGTGGGGGATGAGAGTAGGAACGATGAGCGACAAAATTTTCAGTAAACATCATAACAATTCAGCACATTCGAATTCTTTACAGCCTTTAGAAGTTAGGAAGTTTTGTTTTCTCTCTTGCTGCAGGTGTGGAGGCAGACTTCAAATGTGTTGTCTCGTGTTTTCTTAACAATCTCTCACATCTTCTTGTTTCCCTTTCTATCTCTTTTTTCACTTTTCTCCTTTTTCTCTTCTTTGTTTACTTTTTCCATCTCTGTGTCCGTTTCGAATAAATCCCTAAAAAAAATTATAATAAAAGTTTCAATAAATATCAAGTGGAGCATCACGGTGAAATGCCTTTATGCTGCACTTGTGAAAGTAAAACTGTTGGGCTTCATTTGGACACTCAGACATCAATTCTGAGTTTCACATTTTCCGGATAGGACATGGTAAAAAAAAATTTGAGAAGTTAGGAGGGAAAGTCATAGCTTAAAGTGCAATATTGAATCACGATGTAAATGTGCTGAGTCAGCATTCACGTTGTTTTTCCTGCCAGTAGTTTCTGCTATTGCTTCCCTTATTTTATTCACACAAAACAATCAGCTTGTTCAGAACATAATAACTACAGTTTGTTCTTGGTAATGTTTGAACTTTTTGAATTTTTCGGTTTTATTTTACTTTTTTTCTAATTGAAATGAATGGAGAAGTTTGAGATCTTTGCTCTTTGAAATAATTTCAGCTTACTTTAGACCAGGGGTGTCAAACTGATTTTCCACAGAGGGCCACAGGAGCGTTATGGTGGCCTTTGAAGGGCCACTTCATGTTTAACTTTGACTAAACAATGTTTTAACACGTCCTCTTTTAAACACGGATAAGAACTAAGTGTACGACTGACTAAATCTGAAATAAATACAGAAATATTATTAAAAGTAAAACAAATGAAGTTTTACTCACAGACGATTTTCTAGTGAGTAGCTAGTATGCATTATGACAGGTTTAGTTTATGGTTGATGCCAACTTTAAAACAGCTTATTATCAACTAAACTCCTCAGTTACTTAAAAACAACAGCTCAGGGTCAGGACAGTTATTATTATCTTTCACCTTTTAAATTTATTTTGTTGCATTTAATCATTAATTTAAAGTTTACCGTTGATATAAGAATCGATTGTTATGTTAAGTAACAATTCAACAGTTCAACAGGTACAATATGGTGTGGGGGGTGCCACCCCTGGCGGGCCACACAAGAGTCACCAGCGGACCAAATGTGGCCCACGGGCCTTGAGTTTGAGACATGTGCTTTAGACTTTAGCCTTTACAGTTTTGAAGAAAATTAATTCACTTCATCTTATTATTTTTGTAATATATAAATAGCTAAATGAGTATAAAAGTAAATTAAATGTTCAACAGGTACAATATGGTGTGGGGGGTGCCACCCCTGGCGGGCCACACAGGAGTCACCAGCGGACCAAATGTGGCCCACGGGCCTTGAGTTTGAGACATGCGCTTTAGACTTTAGCCTTTACAGTTTTGCAGAAAAGGAATTCACTTCATCTTATTATTTTTGTAATATATAAATAGCTAAATGAGTATAAAAGTAAATTAAATGTTTAAAGGGGACATGTGAAAAATCCACTGATTTAGCTGTTAAATACACTTTGTTGTGGACGTGGAGTCTCTCGAAGTGCAGAAATGTTGACTTTAGTCTCTCCTGGTGCTACAAAGATATCTTTATATTCTGTTTGGTTTATATTTTTCAGCTCATTCAGTTCTCTCTATTTTCTATGATGTTAATTATTACATCAAATAATCTGCAAGGGAATTACCTTATAAGGACTGGACTTACCAACAACAATTTCCTCATCTTAATTCTCCTCTAGGTCAGACTCTGGCTTCAACATGTAAGGCTGGATGGACAAGTCTGTTGTTTTAATTAAATTGTAAATAAAACATTTCTGACAGCTAGAAAATGCTAACRCCCTCCCACAAACCGGAGTGGACCGGTCTGGAAGCCGGAGGGGGGGCGGGGCTTGAAGTGCCTTAAAGGCATAGTATCAAATCCAGCTGGTTTGAGGCACAAAGTGGTGAAAGAGGAGCTGGTGACGTTTGAAAAAAGAAGATATTCAGACACCATTTGAATAATTTAAATGTGAAAAGGAAGGATTTAAAWGCATATGTCRYCRTTAAAARACTGAAATTTGTATAAAAGTAACTGAAATGCTTTAAAGCACCTTCCACAGAAATAATATAAATATTTGAGGGATTTTTTATTTATTTATTTATTTTTGTCTGATTTATGTTAGTTTATTGGGAAGATATTTTCTTCCACTTTTCTTTACAATGTTGGATCAGTTCATTGAGATTTGAGGTCATTTGTTTTTACACTTGAGTTCTTGCCACAGCATTTCAATCAGGTCTGCAGTCTGGACTGATTGCTTTGCAACACGTCGTTGTGTGTGTGCTTAATCTAGCCATTTTGTTGTACATTGACTGCTGTGTTTGCCGTCGTTGTCTTGGTAAAAGGGCCAAGCTTCTTCTGTCAGGCAGATGGCCTCACATGTACAGTACAGAGGGAGAGGAGCCTGTTAAACTGTCTTTGAAGCACACTGTGTTTCTCCTCACAGAGACAGAGCTACCCCCTTGAAATGAGTGACACTGCAGTATGAATAGAAACACAGTGGAGCGCTGCGGCTCCTAGTGGACAGATTGGTTACTGCSGGCTGGTTGCGGCTCAGCGGTTTCATGTGTTGCCACTCACAGATGGTCAGACAACTTTCACTTAATTCTTCCATCTTTAGTTTTTATTCATCTGAATTAGACTCATCAGAGCTGACCTCCCTRCATACGCTGTGCTTGTTTTAGTGGAATGAATGTTTTTTGTGAATGTTGTTCTGATTCAACACCAAAATATGTTTCGCATTTAAAACCACAGCTTAAAGGCACAGTGTGTAGGATTTTGTCAATTCTTTTAGCCGAAATTGAGACAATCATTAATGACAATAATAAAAAACATGTCTAATCATTGCAGACAAACCGGGGTCGCCCTACAGGCAGCCGCCATCTTGTCTACGAAGGCTCATGAAGACCAAACTGAGGTGGCAGCGTCAAAAACAGTTTTAGTTGTAATACTATAAATGTAATATTTGTTGACTGTCATTATAGCTGGGATAATTTTACTTATTAAAGCTCATAATCTTACCACTTGAAACATCACTAGCCCTGAAGCTGCTGGTAGACATCGCGGTTGGAATTATCAAAGGTTTTTGACACCTGAGAGACACCGTAGCAACTCCTTTTTGGAAGGGGGAGGGGGTGGGGGGAGGACCAGGGAGGATGATTCAACCACTAGATGTCGCTGAAAACAACAAATCCTACACACTGTACCTTTAAAACACTTTTTTTGTTGTTAATAAATAAAAGGACAAAGGTTCAAATGCTTCTAATAGAYTTTATTAGGCCATTAGTAGTTTGTAACAATATTTTGTTTTGCRGTTAACGAGACTTTTTTTGTCTTTTCTTTTCTGAAGAATGGCCTCAARGGGTTACACCTGGCCTCCAAAGAAGGTCATGTCAAAATGGTTCTGGAGCTGCTGCACTCTGGAATCGAACTGGAAGCTACCACCAAGGTAACCTGCTCTGCCCGAGTGTTTAATTATWAAACAAATGAACATACTTTGGGTCACGTTCTCAGTTGTTATCCGGATGTATTTCAGTCCTCAGCTGTAGGTGTGGAGATCTAGGCCAGCAGGTTGCCATAATTGTCCTCTCATTCACTTTAATTTCATTTTCCCACCTTCTGATTTTTTTTTTTTTTGTGACCTCTAGAAAGGGAACACCGCTCTCCATATCGCAGCGCTGGCAGGACAAGAGAAAGTAGTAGCTGAGCTTGTCCACTATGGTGCCAATGTTAATGCCCAGTCACATGTGAGTGTCTCAGTCTGATAAAATAAGTGAGTGTGCTGTTGGTATCGACATGAGTTGTTGAAAGCATTTCTATATATTTAWAATTCCTGTTGTTCGAGAACTGCTCAGTAAAATTTATTATAAATACTAATAAAAACGTCCAACACATTTCCAGAGCCTTGCATATATTCCGATTTGTTTTCTGTGTATTTATCCTGACAGAAAGGGTTCAGTCCGCTCTACATGGCAGCTCAAGAAAACCATTTAGAAGTGGTGAAGTTTCTGCTGGAGAATGGTGCAAACCAAAGCCTCCCGACTGAGGTATGTGTCCCTTAAAACTGGGTTGCATTAAAATCAATTATAAGTTGAGTTTTTTGTTTGTTTTGTTTAGTCATGCAATCATTTTTGTTTTCTTTCTAAATGCAAGAAAATTACCAGCTACTGTCCAAAAATGTCATATTGCTAATTTATATTGAGAAGAAATGAGTTCACTTGTTTTATTTAATTTTGTTTCATTTTATTTTGTTTTATTTAATTTTATTTGGGGGGAGTGTGTGTAATTAAAGCCACACTACATTTTTTTTGTCACAAGATTAAAGTCATAATATAATGTGAATAATATAAATCCTAATATACGAGAAAAAACAATAGTCAAATCTTAATATTATGAGAAAAAATTGTAATTTTWCAATAATAAAGTGATAGGATTATGAGAGCTCTTACAATAAAAAGCGGTGAAGTTATAATTTGGTATCAGTTTTACAAATAAGGAAATGTTTAATCTTTTAACACATCAGCATCAAATTATTTTCAGTATCAGGACGCTGAAAGGATTGTGGAAAGGTCTGTGTCTGTTTTGACGAAAGAACCACACAAACTTGGAAGAAATTGACTTTTACATGGAAAAGGACATTTTTTCATACTATGATATAAATATTGTAACATTATGACTTTGATTTTGTAATAAAAAAATGTTGTAGTGTCAACCTAATACTCCATTCTAGTTTTCTCACAATGAAATACAAAAAAAATTGTTTCAAAAATGTACTTCTGCTCCAAGAGTATCCTAATACAATATGCTTATCTGGTATCATAAGATAATAACCAGAGAGGATATTACTACCTCCACTTCATCCAATCAGAGAATATATTACCARACAGGAACAATGTGCTCTTCTCTCACCCTCCCTCTTCTCCTTTCCTGTAATGTTTAGCTTATTTATTTTACTGTTTTAATCCCATTCTTGTTTCCCCTTATTTAATTCTTTACCGATTGCAGTCTTAAATGAATTCAGACATATAAAAACGGTACCTTTWTTGGGCTTTGTTTCTGTTCTTAAGGAGCACATTTGAATCAATAAATAAACTTTTCATTTTTTACACTTATCTTCTGGAATGTTTGTGAGTAAGAAAAAAAAAACAGACTTTAACAGTTGGATCATTTGACTCCCCTCTCGTCTGGCCTTTGTCTCGTCCCTCAGGATGGCTTCACGCCCCTGGCGGTGGCCCTCCAGCAGGGCCACGAGAACGTTGTAGCCCTGCTCATTAACTACGGCACCAAGGGCAAGGTCCGCCTCCCCGCTTTGCACATCGCTGCCCGAAATGACGACACGCGCACCGCCGCTGTCCTCCTGCAGAACGACCCCAACCCTGATGTCCTCAGCAAGGTACTCCCTCACTCAGACCACCATTACTGTTAGCTTCTGAACGAACGGATCTCAGTGTTGCCTATAATAAATAATAATAAATTATAATAATAAAAGCGTGAACAACCATCTCTAGCTCCTTCTGTGACACAAAAGATCTCAGCTTTGAAATGTTCCTTAAATGATAAAAACAGTTACGAACTAAAGTTTTACAATGGCTGTCAAAAGACATAGAACTATCAAAGACAACACCCAGATTTCTGACACTATTTTTCACTAAAGGGGTTAAAAAAGCAAGGTGCTGCCTGATTACAGGGATTTTATCATCAGGGGCAAAAATAAGAGTTTCAGTCTTGTTTGCATTTAACTGCAGGTAGTTGTTGTTCAGCCATGTTTTGACTTCTGACAGACAGTTACTGAGTTCAGATAGTTTGAAGAACTCACAGGGTCGAAAGGAACAGTACAACTGTATGTCATCAGCATACAGATGGTAGGACACATTACTGTAATGTTTTAAAATACCTCCTAAAGGGTACAGGTACAATAAAAAGAGGATTGGGCCCAAAACTGAACCTTGGGGTACCCCACAAGACAGRGGTGCAACATCAGAGTAAACCTGATTCATAAAAACAGTAAAAGACCGTTCAGATAAATAAGAGGTGAACCAGTTTAAACTTGTAACTTGTATAAAGGAAACTGAAAAACTAGCAAAATATATTTAATTGACTGAAATTAAATACAGCACTTAACTTTGCTGAATTGTGAGTCTGTTTTAGTGCGTGAAGACTGTTTTATAAATGTTGTGCAAACTCAAAAACCTGCAAAGCATTATTAAATCATTAACAAAATGCTCTTATTGTGAAATGGTACCATGAATTGCATATCAGTAGGCTATGAATATTTTTTGCTCTCTGTCTTGACCTTCCACGTTCCCCTCGTGTCCTTCCCTCTGCAGACCGGCTTCACACCTCTCCATATTGCAGCTCACTATGAAAATATGAGTGTAGCCCAGCTGCTGCTGAACAGAGGAGCCAATGTAAACTTCACCCCCAAGGTCAGTGTGCCTCATTGTGCAGGTGCTAAATAAGAACCAAGATGTCAGGAAAAACTCAGCTGATCTTCTCTATACTTTTACATAGCATTTATTGGACTCTGTTTCCTGTGTCACTTTGCTCTCTAGAATGGAATCACACCCCTTCATATAGCCTCCAGGAGGGGGAARGTGATGATGGTCAGATTACTGCTGGACAGAGGAGCACAAATTGATGCCAAGACTAAAGTAGGGTTTACTTTTTAGTGCCTCTCTGATCTAATGTGTTTTCTTTACTGTTTCAGTGACGGTGCATCTTTTTTTGCAAAACCAGTGGTGCCGTTTGTAAAGTTACACAGTCAAAAATTACCACGAATATTTTTGTTTTATTTAGCCTTTTATAAGAAAAAAAGAACA